TCAGTAAGTATTTAGATTTCTCTAATTTTTAGAAAATTAATTTTTAAGTCAAAATAATTTTTTAAAATAAAATGAATTTTTCTAGATTAATTTAAAAATTGATTTAAAACTAATGACTATAGAATTTTGCTTTTGATGGATAAAATTGAGCTTTTTCTCATAATGAATTTATAGTCTATGTTTTGGATGGTCTTAGTGAGAAAAATACATATGTTTACAGTATCTATATTGAGATAGACTTGGTGAAACCAATTATCTAAGCGTAAGAAACTAGTAATCTCTTATAAAAATTTGGTATATCTTTCTAAAGCATTTATTAGCATTACGAGATATATTGACTAAATTTGTTAGTCTATCACGAAGCTCACATGATGAAAAAATTGGTCGTGTGTAGTAAATTTACTCTTATTTTAGTAAGTATCAAATCTGTTCATTTGTTAAGAGAAAAATTGATCATTCCACTATTTATTAATTCTAGAAACGTTCATTAATACTTAAGCAACTAATTTTGATATCGTTCTTTTTTCGCTTTCAAAATAATCTACTTATTTGTAAATTTGGAGAGTATTTTATGAACAACTAGGTAGAGGTTGAAGTAGTTAGTTTTCATTTGATAAATTTACCCCTCTACTATTATAAAAGGATAGTCCATCTCCATAATTTGTACAATTAATTGATGGTTCCACTCGGAAAAAATTTCTTATCGAATAGAGTAACACAACTATTTTACAAATAGGGATGACAACGGGTCGGGTTCGGGCCGGGTATTGGTCCCCCGTCCCCGTTTAAAAAACCCGTACCCGTCCCCGCTTAAAAAACTACGGGGATTTAAATGGGGATTCCCATCGGGTAATCGGGGAAAACCGCGGGGAAACGGGTATCCCCATTTAGCATAAACGGTTATTTAAACGGGTATCGGGCCGGGTATATATATTTAAATTAAATATATAAATATTATATATATTTTTTTAATTTAAATTAAATTTATTAATATTATATATATATATATATATAATAATTATTTTTAATATTTATTCGGCCGGGTATCGGGCTGGGTAATCGGGGCGGGGATTACTAAACCCGTCCCCGTCCCCGTCCCTGTTTAGCATACACGGTTTTTCTCCGTCCCCGTTTAATTCTATTTTCGATTTTCCCCGTCGGGTTCGAGTTTTTTTGCCATCCCTATTTACAAAGTGAGGAAGGCTGTGTTAATCTTGTGGGACAACATCCATTATAGTGATTACACTAATTCAAATGAAATTGTTTCTGAGATAGTAACTTCTACCCCATCACAACAATTATATCGATGATTTTAGATTTTTTTCCTATAAAAATCGGATTCAGATCGTGTTGGGTTCATATGAAGGATGAAAAACCTTTGATATGATGCAAGGATAATAGTATAATTTTTCATATAAATTAATGGATAATTGTTATAATAATCTTTCTCTATATATTTTTTTAATTTAGTCCTTATTAGCTCAAGTCGAAACAGATCAAATTTATACTTTAAAATTTTGAATTAAATTGAATTCAAATAGAGAAAATATACTCTTTAAATTAATTGAAGTCAAATAGAGGTATATATATTTTAAATTCGAATAGAGAAAATATACCTATTTAATTAATAGTTTATCATTAAAATAATAATTATTATATAATGAAAAATTATCGTTTGAAATTATTATTTCACAATTGTAATATTTATAACGATTATAACTCTTTTTTTTTTGAAAATGGTGTCTTGTATGTAAGCAAAGCATGAAAATATACATAGACAACGACAATGGTCGATGCCTCATTAAAAAACCTGCTTAATCCTAAATGGAGAAAAAAGAGTACTCGGAACCAAAGCCACTCGAAAATAAAGAGAGTTCGAACAATACGGACTAATCCAAACCCACACGCTCTAGAGGCTATAGATATACTACAGCCGTGTCTATCATATGCATCCTACCAAAACAAGGTGCCAAACATGAGTGGAACATAAAATACAGACACAAAACCACACCTAGGTAGTAACCCATCAATCGGTTGTACAAGAAGTCAATGCCACAAAGGCGTTGATTATCCAACCTGCACCAGCATTCGGTCCTAATTATTAAGCACACATCCTAGAATCCAACCATTAGCTTGACGCCAAAGTAACAATCTATCTACAAAGATAGACATCATAGCTCCACCGCCTCATTTGGTCAGAAAAGTAACAACGGCTCCCTCCACTGTCGGATAAAATCCTTCCAACCAGGACCCTCTAAATGAATTGATAGCAATCCAGAAAAGTTGAGGCATTGCAGCACCGTCAGATAGCATACCAGCAACCAGACACACTGTCCAGTAATTTTTAACCCTATCATTCTTTTTATTTCTTAACATACAACGCAACCCTCATCATCAGACAAGAAAATACGAGAGACAAAGCCCATCACTAGTAGCAAAAAACTAAGCACAACATCAACATCACAGAGACTAAGCCCAATCATTGGGGCTATTCACACCAGCTCATAATACTTGGATATCATGTTGGAGATTCTACCCCTGGATATTTGGTAATTTGGCCTCTTCCTCCACCTGCAGGGCCACTTTGTTTTCACATGACTGATATGAACTCCTTAGTAGCTCTTCTGAAGTCACCTATTGATGGACATCATTCAGGCCACTTCCAACTGCACTAGCACCTGATTCTAGCTATAGCCGATTCAAATAAATTATCTTTATTAAACGAACTCTTATTAAACAATACATCATTCATGCTTAACCAGACTGACCAAAACAAACCGAAAAAAGCTAGCTTCCATATTGGCATACATGCTTTATTAATCAGTAAGCCTTCCCAGAGGGACATAAAAGCTCTTATATTCGCAGGACACACAACATGGAGTTTCCACAGTGCAAACCATCTCATCCAAACTCGCCAAACTACCTCGCACTGACAAAACAAATGATTCATTGATTCCCTTTCCTTTTTACACAACACACAAACACAAGATTCGGGATTAACGACTCTTTGCTTACCTAGCTCCTCAAGAACCGGTAATCTTTGTAACACAACTCTCCACACAAGAATCTCCACTTTCGGGAGATCTAAGTTTAACCACACATCCTCGTCATATACTGCATTTGAGCATAAGGATATAGGGGTATACGTTCTGCTTGGGGAGCCTAACCAACGAACTTTGTCTTTTCCAGTGCTACCTTGGACTGCTTCATCTAACGTTCGAATGAAGTCATCCCACAAACTGAATTCCCATGAATATAACATTCTCCTGATCTCTATGTTCTATTCCCATCTCCCATTGATTCTGTTACCAAACTCAACCACCTTACCCCTTTTTTTAATTGCTAAATCAAATACCCTTGGAAAAGCCTCCCTCAACGACATAACTCTAGTCCGGTGATCGTTCCAAAAATCTATGTAATAATCGTCTCCTATAGAGTGTTTCAGATTCTTTGTAAATTGCATTATTGGTTTTATTGAGAGGCTTCACAACGCTTCTCCAAACCCAAGACAACTTGTATGGTGGCCTCTGAGATGGAATCAATGAATCATGCTCATAATCATACTTTGCTTCTACAATTTTTCTCCATAAGCTTTTGGGTTCTGCGCCAAACCTCCATATCCACTTATTTAGTAGAGATCAATTTCTCAGTCGGATATCAATTAGCCCTAGTCCACCTTGCATTCTTGGCCTACATAGTCTTTCCCAATTAACCCAATGTATAGGCCTTCCACTGTTCACGCCACATAAGAACTTAATTATAATATAATATTATTATCACAATTATAATAAATATAATGCATTTAAAAATACAATCACAAATGTTACTTAATCTACTATTTAAATCCTTGAGCAAAACTACTCATCGACTTAGGGATGGCAATGGTAGGGTTGGGTCAGGTTTTTGGTCAACTCGAACCGACCCAAAATTTGTATCCTCTAGCCGAAGTTGATACGACTTGACCCGAAAAATATATATCATCAATTCAACTTTGATCTGATAAAAAATTTTAGAATATAAATTCGACCTGGTACAAAATAAGGACCTAATTAAAAATAATAAATAAATGGCGAATTATAGCAATTATCCATACATTTATTTAAAGAAATTACACTATTATCCCGAGTCGTGTTGTAGTTTTTTTACCCTCCACTCGAACCTGACCCGACCTCAATCCTTTAAAAAATCTAACCCGATCTTGAGTTTTTTAAATATATAACCTTATCCGATCAGATCAGGTTAAAATTAAAGACAAGCATGAGTTGGGTTGGGTTGTGTTTCTGGTTAACCCAATCCAACCCAAAAATTATAGACCCTCCACTTGTCTCGCCCTTTTGAGATAAAATCTGAGCTTGCCTTGATTCGACCTGAAATGATATATTTATAAAAAAAATATTATTTTTATTTAATGAAAAATAGGGGTTTAATTGAAAAAATAATACATAGAGGGTCTTATTGTAATTATTTCTAAATATATAAGGTAAAATTACAATTTTTCATGTCTGGTTGGGTTGGATATTTTCATCATAAACCCAAACTAGACCTAAATCGACCCGAACATAATTTTTTTAAATAAAATCTAACCTGATAGGATCGGATCGGGTCGAACCACATCGAATTCGAATTATGTGCCCAACCCTAATCATAATCTATCAATTTCGGATTATATTGTCATCTCTCTATACTAATATCCTTAGGTCGGGTAGAAGTTTTGCCTCATTTGAACCCGACCCGACATGATCTGACACTCTTAAAAAATCTAAACCAAACCTAAACCTAATTTTAAAATAAATATGGATACTATCAAATCAGATAAAATCAAATTCGTGAGTTTCGAGTTAAATTGCAATCCCCGCATTGACTACATAATAAATGAATTTTTCTTCCCACTGGCGGGAATAGTTTGTTAGGGAGTGAAGGTGACAGTTAGTATTGTTATTTAACTAAAAGAATCTGAAACCAAATCCCATGAAAACGTTCCTCAAACCCTCTCTCTGGTAATGATTAAGCACTCTCTCTTCTTCCTCTTTCTGCTGCTTCCCATTCCCGCTTTTTCTGTCAATCATCAACGTCGTCGTCGTCCTCCGCCTCCACCTCCACTGCATCAGAACCAAGTCAACAACATCATCGACGCTCTCATCGGTGCTGGGGATTTCAACAACTTGGCAAACATGCTCTCTGCTTCACCTCTTCATGCTTCCACTTTCGGCCACTCTTTTCGTCCCTTCCGAAGATTCTATCTTCCCATTCCCATTATCAGCTTCTTTTCCCACTTCCACCACCGCCGCCGCAGCCGCTGACCCTCTCATCAACCCTTACCACATCGTCCCGCAACGCCTCACTTTTTCTCAACTCGCCCTCTTCAAGCCTCTCTCTCGCTTACCCACTTTGCTCCCTTCCAAATCCATTCTCGTAACCAACACTTCCCCCTCCAATTTCACCGTCGACGCTTCTCATATTATCCACCCCGATCTTTACCTCACGTCCTCCATCGCCGTCCACGGTATTGCATCGCTCTTCAACTGCACTGTCTACGGCGGTGATGCTGCCCTTGATTATGGCATCACCCCACCACTTCCGTCGGAGCAGACGCCGCCTCCTCCGCAAACAATGTTTGAGCCGCTGGGAGACGTGATCGGAGATAGGAGGAGATCGGATGCTGGTTGCTTGTATGGGGAGTTTGCATTTGTTTGCCTACTGATTCCATGGATGGTTTTAAGCATCAAGATTTATGGGTATCCTCTTGGCATCTGATTGGTTGTTGAGATTACAAACAACAGTAATTTCTTCACTTCTTTCCATTCTCTTATCTTTTCTTTTAATTGTTACAGCAATCAACAGGTTGATTCCATGTATGAACATGCAGAGTTTCTGTATTGGTTCTGCGCTCATCGTCTTCCTGTTCCATTCGCACTGCATTTATTTGTTTTCCTCAAAATCCCATAGCACTTGAACCCTAATTTTTTTGTGAAAGCATGGCAGTTTTTTAAAACATCCAATGACATTACTTAATTGGATGTATGCATGTTGAAGAAGTATCACATTTGTGCATCTGCCACTGCTTCCAACAATGATAGAATGTCATTGGTGTACAAGGACGGACGTAGAAATTTATGTCAGGATTGTGAACTTAAGAAGTTATATTAAAAATTTTAGGGGTACCAAGTTATAAAATTTTAGGGATGCGAAATTAGATAATTAATATAAAATACAAAAATAAAATCTAAATTATAAGAGAATTTAAAAATTTTACCAGCCAGGGTCGGCTCTAAGGTGGAGCACCATGAGCAATCGCTCAGGGTCCCCAAATTTTTGTATTTATAATTAGAACCCTCGTTTTTTATATTTTTAATTAAGGCCCTAAGTTTTATAATTTTATAAACTTTTTTAGTTTTTGGCCCTCTTTTTTCTATTTCTATTATTAATTTATCCAATTTTAAATTAAATTTAACCATTTTTTATATTTATATTTAGAACCCTAATTTTTATAATTTCATAAAATGTTTAGTTTTTGACCCTCTTTTTCCATTTCTATTATTTATTCATTCAATTTTGAATTAAATTTAATCATGTTTTCTTCTTTTTTTTTTCAAATCATTCTATTCAATTTATCAAATATTCTTTAATTTTTAGTCTCCTTCATTCTCAATCTAACAATAAAATAATATACAATTTTATTTATTTATTTATTATTCAAAATCAAGCTATGTATCATACATGAATTTATTTTTTATATTTATTTTCTTTTAGTTGTATTTAAGGTGTTCTCTTAATAAAATAATAAAAATAATATATTTTCACAAAAGTTAATCATTTTCTATGATTTATTTATGTAATATTGAATTAATTGCTCAAAGTAATGAAGTATTTCATTTTTTTAGTATAACTAATCTGGATCGGATACTGCAGAGGTAAGGGAGACCCTCCCAACTCAATTTACTCAATTCGCAATCGTTAGCACTAGAACCCTTGACATTGCTTAAGAGATTTAGTCTATCTCACTAAACCAACCAATTGTGAATTGGTAAACATAATCAAATCTTTTATTACATTCTTTAGTTCTTTAGACGTGAGATTACGTTGGTTTAACAAAGAGTCCTTAATCGATCAAGCCACCGATTTTCTTTTCATATCCAATGAGATCAATCTCTTTAGTATCCTCTTGGACAATTTGTTGCGCATTAGTCTATGCCCTCAGCTTGTGGTCCTGTGCATGAACAAGTATATATATATAATACAAGTTGATTGTGGCTAGCTAATGGTTAAAATATCACTCATTACTTCATTAGGTTTAATTACTATAAAATTTGCAGGTTAATGGATTGACAAAAGGGCAGAATAAAATAGGACAATTATAGCAAGAAGAGTTGGGAGTTAGAGCATGTGCTGTTGCTGTCACGGGAATTCATTGTATTTGTTGCAGTACAACCATGATGTCACAGTAACAATGAGATTAATAATTAGGGTATATTACGTGATTAGTACATAAACTATCAGTTTTGACCCGTTTTAATATCCAAACTTTCAATTTTATAAAATCATACCTAAAGTATAGTTTTTGTTTCATTTTAGTATCCTCTTTAAAATTTAACATTAAGTTTAAAAAAATTTAAAAATTTAGGTACTAAAACGGACCAAAACTGATAGTTTAAGTACTAAACACGTTAAGTTTTTAACGGTCGGGTATTAAAATGAAACAAAAATTAAATGTTAGGCATAGTTTTGAAAAAAAAAATAGAAAGTCTAGGTATTAAAACGGGTCAAAATTGATAGTTTAGATACTAAATGTGTAGTTTACCCTTAATAATTAAACTAACCTAGTAGACCTCTTAGATTTAGAACCCAGGGAGAGAAAAGATAAAGTGAGAGAACTTGAGGAAAATGACATGGTGAGGTGCAACTGTTATTAGTTTGATTTGTTTTTATGTAATTAAGATTTAAAAATTGGTATATCAGATGCTTGTTCAAAGATTAAAGGACAACAGCTCACCATCTATCTACCAATATGGATTTCAATTATTGATTGGCTTATACCTGCTGCAGCAAAAGGATATTAATAATTATACTTGCATTAATAGGCCACTGATTTCTGCAGACATGGCCTTGAATTCATTCTTTTTTCATTAAAAATATGAACCCGAACTTCTGATAATGCACACACGTTACAGAAACAGCTGCTCAGATTTGAAATCTCTAAGGTGAATAATAATCCCTTTAACCATTGATATCGTTTAATGAGTTCTGAGAAGGAATAATTTTAGATGCTGGAACATGGGTTGTGAATGAAGAAGAGTGATTAATGCTGGGAAAATGTTATTACAGGTTTTGCATATACTTGAAGAACAAATATAGAGAAAATTCAATCTCTATTAGGCTTGGTTAGATGATCATCTTATTCTCTTCCTAATGATTCTACAGACATCTTCCTCCATAGCCTGCATTTCTGAATAATGCTTGCTTTAGGTCTTTAGAACTTATCATTGCCCTCTGCTCTGCTGCCTAAATATTATTGAGGAAAAAGGGTAAGTGATTATAATTTTAAAAGTAGTTGAGAACCCAACAGAAAATGAACACATCTAATCTACCTCTGAACAAGAAGCTTTCAATGAAAAATCATTGAAGCAACTTATAACACACTGCTGAATCTCAAGGCCTAGTGCTTCCAATGTGCTAACAGTAGAGAACAGCAATCCCGGTTTCGTCGCACAGCAGATATCGATTCGAGTATCGATATCTCTCCTCTCCACTTCAAACTACATGGAAGAAACGAGTCAAGTAAAGGATGAATGTCTTCAATTACATGTTCAGTTGTTCATGTAATGGTTATATATACCTTTGGGGAATTTCTCACCAGCGCTTCATTTGGCTTTTGCTCCTTGAAGTTGCTCAACAAAATCTGTTGATTAATACCCTCTTTTGTTTCTTCTTCCTGCAGCTTATTAACCCTCTCTATAAGCTCTTTCATGTAATCTATAGAATCTCCAAGTATAGATGTTCTATCCATCTGTTTATGTTCAGTTGTTCACCATTGTTTTATCAGTTGCAGTGAATAAAACAAGGGTAAAGTACACAAATGGTGCCCCCGACTATAAATTATTGTTTTGTTGAGTCTCTCAACTATTAAAATTTGTAAAATGGTCCCTAATTATAGAGCGTTGCTTTGTTGAGTCTCCCGACTATTAAAAGTTACAAAATGGTCACTTGATTGTTCATATATTCCAAACTCGTCCTTTTTTTTTTGTTAAAAAATTGACAACAATCTGAGCTGAACGTTAACATGCTGACTAAAATATAATAAAATCTGATCTTAGAATCTCAAATGACTATCATATTTCAATCGGCATGTTAACGTCCAACTCAAATGACCTTCAATTTTTTAACGGAAAATGACGAGTTTGAAATATATAAATAGTTGAGTGATTATTGTGTAACTTTTAATAGCCGGAGGAGTGAACAAAAAACATCCTATAGTTGGGGGACATTTGTGTACTTTACCCATAAAACAAAAGTTGTTGATAAACAAGGGAAAACCGTGGTCACCTTGCTGATCTTAGGGACGATTGATCTCAGCATTGAGAGTCTGTCATTTAGTCGCTTCCTCCTCCGCCTCTCCGCCATTAGATTCTTCGAGGGCTGACCTTGTAACTTGTTTGTCTCGGTCCTTTTCTTGCCTAACAAGCTACTCTTTGTTTGTTGCAGACCAAAGGGGTCTTCATCGTCGACCATGGAAGGGTAGTCTTGTTGAGTAGGTGGGAAAGGAGAGACCACGTTGGCGTATGAAGAATCGACGTCTCGCACTGTGAAATCATGGTCGAAAGGGGAGGGTTGAACGGTGAATGGACAATCGAAGCTGGGGTTGTCAATCTGATCATCAGTTGGTGTGGGGAACCCAACGAGGGGGAGATTTGGTGCAGACAAAGATGGATTGTCGTCAAAAGGATCGAAGTTGGATGAGCCGCCACCGGTGAGGAACTCGGTTGAAAAAGTGGTCCAACTGTCTCGTCTCGGAGCCAATAGCTCCTCCAAGAAGCCATGCTGTGAGAACTCCATTTCCATTACCTCTAAAAAAAGTTTTAGAAAAAAAGGAAGAAATGTTTAATAACATGAAGTTGCTCCAACTTAGAATATATAGACTATTTAAGTACTATACAAAAGGTCTAATTCTTGTTTTAGTCCCTGTATAATGCTGAAATTTTATATTTAACCTATCCTCTCTAGGGATGGCCATGGATCGGGGCAAGTCGAATTTTTGGCCCATCTGAACCCCACCTAAAAATTATATCTTTCCACCCAACTCGATCTGACTCGGGTTTTAGAGGCTCACTTAACCCAAAACCCGATTTACTTTTTTGGACTAAAACTGCTTTTGCGCTAATATAACCTATATATATGGTTTAGTATTTTTTTAAACAATGTAAACTAAAGAGTTTTACACAAATTAGGACGTTAAGATGAGTGAAAAATAAAATGATGAGATTAACTCATTTTTTTTCTTCCAAGTGAATATTTTCTCATTTCCTATTAATCTCAATCATTTATTTTCACTCATCCAACAATCATAAATTTAGTCTATGTAAAACTAAAAGAGTTTTACATTGTTTAAGAAGATAATACATATATACATACATACATACATACATACATATATACATATATATATATATATATATATATATATCATTTTAGGGTAAAGTAAGGACCTAATTAAAAAAATATATAGAAAAGAGTATTGTGACGATTATCTTTAAATATATAGAGATAATTATGATATTATATTAGGTTAAATTATTTTCACCCTGGATCTGAATCCAACACGATCTGATCTCATCGTTCAAAATATCCAATTTGAACTCAACTTTCAAAAAAATCAACTCGATCCGTTCGGATTAAATTGGAACTCATGGGGTCCGAATAAAATATCCATCTCTAGTCCTCTCTACGATAATGCTATTGTCATTAGCATATCCAAATTAATAGCACCTTTAATTAGAACCACCTTGAAATCTAGTAGGCAATGTTCAATCAATGATAAATTTATATTCCAATAAAATACTTAAGGTTAATTAAAAGAAATTTTTCATGGTCACTCACTCCCTTTAACGGCAGCAATCAATTCGACGTACTACCAACAACTAGTTGGTTTAGTGGATTAGACACTAGGTCCCTTAAACAAGGTCAGAGATTCGAATACTGTCGTTTGCGAATGAATCAAACTGGGTTGGGAGGGTCGCCCTCGCTCTCAGTACCCGAACTGGATTAGTCAGTCAATAGATCGGATACCAGTGATTAATTCAAAAAAAGGCGGACATACTATTAACATTATAAAAAGAAAAGCAACTCAATCATGTGAAATTAGAGGGATGAAATCCCAATTTCAACATTGTACAAGGACTAAAATCATAACTAGACTGTACATATATTGATGGTACTTACTTTCTTACGTACAATGCAATAAATTATACATTAAACATGGAATCTACTTTTCTCTCACAATGTGAATTGTATTTTTCACTGAGATTATCAATCAGACAGACTTGATATTAATACCCAATTCCCTGAAAAAGCTTTGACCCACAAATCCTGTGTCATAACCAAAAACAAGCATGGTTTATCATAAATAAAAACAAGAACCTATTTAAATATATATATATTAAAATTTTAAAAATACAAAAAATCGATAATCAATAAAAATAAAAATATATATAAATTATAGAATTTAAAATTTTCAGAAAATGAGATTATACTCCAACATCCATCGATCCATCTCTGATCACAAACATTCTTCTTATTTCTTCTTCTCTCTGCACGTTATTTGATATATATTGGAATATGAGGTTATTTAAGGCACACCTAAAGATATATACATATTAGGATCCACTTCACAAGTGTTTTATACATTTTTAAGACCATTAAATTGAAGAAAATCAAAGGTTGAGATTAATTCATTGTTTCTTTTTTTCGGTGAATATTTCTCATTTTACCGTTAATCAACCTTTGATTTCTCTCAATCTTAAAGGATACTAGGCGTAAAAGGATCTGCCCATATATATATATATATAACAAAGGCTATAAAATGCAAATGAGGAATGTCTAAGGTACGACAGCCTTAATATACGGTTAAGGAAAGTGCTACAAAAAATTTAATATTTTTTTAACATTTGCGGTAAAACGTTACCTAAAATAGTATTTTTTTTCTACCTGAATGTTAATATTGGGTGCTACTTAAAATGTTTATCATTTTCAGTAAAGCGCTACTAAACATTATTTTTTCTACCGAAAATGTTAATATTGAGCGCTACTTAAATGTTAATTTTTTCTACTGGAAATTAGATAGCGAATTAATTTTCGGTAAAAAAAATATTTCAGGTAGCATTTTACCGAAAATTAAAAAATGTTACATTTTCAATAGTACATTTCCTGAACCATTTATCAAGGTTGTCGTACAGCGCAAAACTACCCATGCAATTACATTCACGAGTGATTGGGCACTAAGAACATGGAATGTGTTGGATTTTGGGAGATAGCCAATTATTTACAAATGAAAATACTGCAGGAAGCACATGCCAAGCAAGATACATAATGAATTATGAATGTACCAAACAAACAGCAAAGGCTGCAGCACCTAGGAAGCCTGTTGTTTAAACTGTTTACTGACAGTCTTGGGGAGCACCGACGCCTGTGAACTATATCTTACTTGCATATCACAATATTCAATTATTAGAAATAATATTAATTAACATTTTTTTAGGGTTTGAGCAAGCATATTTAGCTGGTTAACTAATCTATTCATTTTTATTCTTCATATTTTCTTAGGTCATATGTACTAGACACATTAAGAGCATTCCATTTTCTTCCCCTAAAGTTTGTTATTTGTTTCTCCCCTAAATAGAATTAAGATTAAGTTTAGAATTTATATAAAAAACATTTCTTAGCACTGAACCAAAATACATTTTCGATGTATGAAAAAAAACCTAACGAAGTTATAGGTATAATGACAAAAAAATACTCCTATCGTTAAATAAAATAATCACTTTGGTCGCTATTTTTGTTGGTATTTTAGAGTAAGAACATCTCATCCTAGATGAAAACTGTTAGTCAACAAACGATTAACACTCTACAATAAAAAAAATTATCCTAAAATAAAAATGTTAGGGGCTAAAATGCTCCAAAAAGATTATAATAAGAACAAAAATTACCATTTAATTAAAGGTTAAAAATATTTTTACCATGAGATATTGAAATGTATAAAAAAAAAACCTAATTAGGTTATATGACATTTGTTGCTCAAATCAAATTTCCTCTTCTCTTCATCCTATGTGGATTCCAATCATAACATTTACCTTGGGGATGTAGTTGCCTCTTCACTTAATAAAGAAACACCTGTGATATTAATTAAACCAAGAAAATATGCCAATTACTTAATTGCTTAATTAAAATTAATATAAAATAAATTAAATAAAATTGTTGTAAAATAAACATAATAAAAATATAAAATTAAAGAAATCCAAACAAGTGCATTTTGACATAAATTTTATCTAATTTAAATTAATAAATATATAAAATTAAGAGAAATTATTGGAAAGTAACAAATTTAGTTCAACTGAAAGTAGGAAATATATTTTCTTTTATGTTGATTAAAAGTAGAAAATCTAATTTGAATAAATTTTTATTAAATAAGTTTTCTTTGTAATCAAGTAACTATCTCTATAAATAAATATCAGGGATCATGGACAAAAGTCAAGTTGATTCTTGTTGTATTTTTTCTATTTTCGACATTAGTGAAAGTTTTCTTCTTATACATGTGATTTTTTTCAAATAAATTTACGTAAAATTTCGATTTCTATTTTATGTGCGATCATTATCCTTGTTTTTTAACAAATTAATATTAAATCATTTAAGTTATTTGTCTAGGTTAAATTAATGACACCCTTAAAATATACAATTTCGCTAGACCAATATTGCTTCTATATATCTATAAACACTAGGTTTAGGAGTAAACAAGTATAACTTCTTGTTGGCTCGATGATTAACTAAAATTGGTCACATGAGGGTGTGAATTTACTTTTTAAAATTTATTAAATGATATCACTTAAATAAAAGCGATAAAACACGCGTCGATTTATAGTAATTCGACTTATTAATTAGGGGTTGCTTGGGAATGTTTATAGAAGTGTTTTTGGTCTAAAATTCCATTTCAATGCAGAAGTATTCTTAAATAACTCATTTTCAATTAAAAATTCATATTTAAAAAGTGATTATTGACTCAAACAAATTTTTTTTTAAAAAATGATGTTTTTGCGTTAAAAAAACTCGTTGAAGACTTCAAATCGAGTTTTCGATAGTCTGATATAGGTACTAGAAAAGTGGTATCAATAGTATCTTATTCATGAACAATATTAGTGAGTAAACACTATCGTGACCAAATTAATTAGTATTTTTATGTCCAAATATTTTTAAAAATATTTAATAGATGTAAAATAACTTAAAATATATAGTTTTCTGTTTTAAAAGTTTTATAAATATTTAATAAAATATTAATATCATTTTTCACAAAATAATTTTAAAAATTAAATATATAAAACAAGATATTAATTAATACACATCAAAATCGTTTTGTTCAAACACACAAATTTTTATTATAATGGATCATCGTATTACGACATGTTTTTAATCTTTTATATAATTTAAGAATATTCACAATATCTTCAATAAAATTTTCACGAAATAATCTAAGAAATAAATATGAAAACTTATGGTAAATGTTGTTCCTATCAAAATCTTATAAAATTAAAGGTAACATTTGTGATTTGAGAGAGTTTTCTTGCACTTATTTGTTTAGTAAAGAAACATATTTATTTTTTATTATCCTTAGTGTTTTTGTAATCAATCATTCATTTGGGGAATGCTTGGAAGGAAAATAGTTTACGATAATTGTACGGCAACCTAATTTAAGATGAACTTATTATGATATTTAATCTAAAATATTATTTTATTCAATAAATATTATACAATTTGTAATATTTTCGGTTACAACTAAAAATGTTACATTG